AAAACCAAATTATATATATATATATATATATATATATACACATATATATATATATATATATATATATATATATATATATATATATATATATATATATATATATGTGTGTGTGTGTGTGTGTGTGTGTGTGTGTGTGTGTCTGTTCCACAGAGCTCCCACCACAACGCCCTCTTTTTTTTCACCCACCAATCATCTATCTCTCCCCTTTCTTTTTTTTTTTTCAATTCCACCGGAAGATAAAAATGGTCACGTGATATTAAGATAGTCATGTGGTTCACCATTTTATTATTATTGTTACTATTTAAAACTGTTGAAATGAATTGTTTGTTTCGGCATTTTTTAAATTCACTACGGGAAAACACTATTTTGAATTAAACGCTGATGTTAAGATTAAGGGCAAAGCAGTCAATTGTTAACCTCATCTGTAGCTGACTCGAACCCGCCTTTAAGGGGTGATTGTGACACTGCGATCGCAAACTATTTATTTAATCGCACAGACCGCTGACTCATCCATTTCATATTTTGTTCCAAAATTATTTTCATATGTTTCTACGTATTCATTTTTTTTTTTTAAATCTGGGAAGATGTTGGTATTTACACAGCTCTGGATATTCCATGGATCCATTGCTTGCATGGTCGACTTCTATCGCGTACTCGATATTCGTGGAGTCCATACATGAGACAGATAGAGAGATGAGAATCTAGTTCCGCATCTATTGTGTCAGATTCTTGTTATTGTTTCTTCTAGCGGGATTCCACCCATAGCCAGTTTGTAGGCCTACCGCAGTTTAAGGGAATATTAAACCAATGGGTCCCATTCGATCTCTTCACAGTTAACCTCCATAGTCTGGATCTACACACCTGGGCACGCAGAAGTAAATGTAATGAAAGAGCTGACCAGCTGGCAAGTAATGCACCAACGCAAAATGGAAGAAGCCTTGAGAGAACTGATATCATCAACGCTGCACGGACTAGACTGGACGATGGTGGTCAATCTCTGACGCTGACACAACTGCGTGACCAAGGAGTTGAGCTTGGTGAAGCACGGCTATGACGTCTTCGAAGTAAATACAAGAGATACTATAGCCAACTCAACATGGGAACAATCCAGGTACCTTGGAGTGGCTGCCAAGTCAACGGACCAAGCATGAATGGGAATACTCAATGTGCAATGTCGTCTGTTGTGATAGCATAACATCTTATCTGTTTCTCAGTCATAAGAATTGAAATGTGTGCATTCACAGATGCTCGCAGTTTTTCTTGCATAGCTTACCATGACAACAAGGATGGCGATCGCAATGCCAGCAATGGCCACAATGTGTTGGTAGATGAAGTCCTCCAGTGCATCAAGGCAGCCCTGTAAACAGGAAAATACAATTGTAACTAATTTATTGTTTATTAATATAAAAGAATGGTTTTATTTGCATACGGTTTTAGGTTCTGCATATTATTATTATAAATATTACTATTATTATTATTAACCAGTCAGTATGCTCAGGATTAGAAATGCGATGTTTCAGAAAAATTCTTGGCAGATCATACAGAGACCACATTACAAACGAAGAGGTTCGCCATAAAATTATACAGCACATTGGCAACTATCAACCTCTTTTAACTAAAGTGAACAGGCGAAAAATGCAATGGTATGTGTATGTAATAAGATCAAAAGACCTCTCAAAATTAGTTAGAGGGAAAGAGTAGAAGAGGAAGACCAAGAAAGACCTGGTTACAGAACCTGACTGACTGGATAGGCCTCAGGCATGCAACCATGAAATTCTTCGCTACTGACCGCTAAAGGCGGAGAGAGATGATCAGACAGTCAACAGAAACTGGTAACCCAACGACACATACTATTACAGGATGATGATAATATTGACGATAACAAGTGAAGACCCCTTTCCGGCATGGTTTAAAGGCGACTAGGCCCATATATCATAGACCAGTGGTACCTACTTAGATAAGACACACGGAGCTCCTCCCCTTATTTGATGATGATGCTCAGGATGAAAGAGTCCGAAAGTGGCAGTCGATGCTAAGATAGCTCAGCTTCATGTTTGTGCCAGGGCACGCAGGCATGCAAGGGAATAATGAGGCTGATAGGTTCTCCGGTAAGACTACTATGATTGGTTTTCGCGGACTGGTTTCCGGAATGTATAGCTGTTTGATTTCCATCCTTAAAATGTTATTCCTACAGACTGCAAACCAGGGTGCCTACTTGTCAAGACTTATCGACACCTCTCCGCAGTCATCATAGAAACAGGTTTCCTGGTCGGGTGCCCTGCCAAGTAGATACTATCGGCGATTGATTTGGCCTGACCATTGAGCTAATCGTGTACGTGTTGATTTATCCCTATCTAACAGCGTTTATTTAATTTGAACAAAGAAGACACAAACAACAGATTGCACAGTTTATTGTCTGTCATATCTAGCTGTATCTCGTCTGGTGCATACTACGGTAACAACTTGATTAAAATAAAGCAATATATATATATATATATATATATATATATATATATATATATATATATATATATATATATATATATATATATATATATATATATATATATATATATATATATATTAATCCGAACTGAACCTCAAAATCGACTATATCTAGAAACTGTTTCACCCGGTCAAACAAAAAAAGAAAAGCAAGCAAGTCCTTTTGCCTGCCTAATTCTGGACTAAACCGGTTGATAGCACACGCTTACACAGTTTTAAATAATTTACAGTTAACTGAAGCGTAACTATGTCAAAATGCGTCGTCCTTGTTTACACTGCATGTTTACACTGATGAAACAGATAGTTTTTGAATGCAGTCGAATTTGCTTTTCATGTCAAATGAATCCTCATTTTGCTTCATTTTCATCAATTGTTACTGTAGTATGCACCTGACAAGATGCAGCGAAATATGGCAGGCAATAAATTGTGAAATATATTGTTTGTGTCATCTTTGCTCACATTCATCATCATCATCATCAGGTGCCTAGCTGACTGGCGTTGGCGATCAAGCCTCTCCATAATCTGCGATCTCCTGCAGAATGTATCAGTTCGTGTGCCGACAAACCTTCATGCCATGCATCAAGACTGTCAAGAATCTTCTTTCGTTGTCTTCCTCTACCCCTTCTTCCACAGATCTTTCCAGTTGTCACAACATGTTCTTTTTTGCCTCTCCTCATAACATGGCCGAAAAATGATGACTGTCTCTTTCTGTTGTCTGTGATAAGTTGTCTACGGGCTCCCACCTCTTTCAAGACCTCTAGGTTGCTCTTTTTGGCTGTCCAAGGTATTGTAAGCATTCTTCTGTAAAACCTCATCACTGAGGCCTCAAGAAATTGTTTGGCCGGCCTACCGATTGTCAAGGATTCACAGCCATATGTTAACATTGGAGGTATGTAGCAAGCAAGAATTCTTTTCCTAACTCTCAATGACAAGGATATATAGCACAAGATGTTTTTCATTTTATAAAATACAGTTTTTGACTGTCCTATTCTGTTTCTTATCTCAGTTATGCATCTTTCATCTGATCACATCACATTCACAACTGGGAAATACAAGTTTTATTGGTTTTGCTCTCTAGACAGTTGTAGTCTCATGCTCATGAGATTCTGTCTTACTGGAAAGGGGTACCGCCGTGAACAAAACATAGCGAAGGCCGCGTAGTGTGGTCAAGGATGCCAAATCTACCGGTCAATATCCCGTTTAGACAAAGCATAACCACAACACACACTGCATCTACGAAAAAAAAAAAAAAAAACCCCAGATACTATCGTATGTTGGAAATGCGCACAAAATAGCAGCCCATTATACCGGAACTAAACAATCCCAGAGAAATCACAGCCATCAAAAAACAAACATCGCAATTTTTGCCCTTTTGGAAACGGAACTTCGTTTCATTCACAGTGGTATTATTCCAGGTTAAGAAACTGAAAGACCGCACATAAAAAATCAGGTCTGTAAAACGGATGTACATAAGAATGTTTAAGTCGTGGAACAAGGCTAACGTCCAGAAGTGGACGAACAACCAGAAATTCTCACCAGAGATTGCAGTTAAAGTAAGCAGCGAAGAGGAGGTAGTTTAGGCCGAATGTGCTAGAGACGCGACAATACTTTCTTCATAAGAAATCTTACCTTGTGATTTAAAGCAGGGTTTGGCTGAGTAATGAGAGTCACATTTATCTGTATGGGCTGGTTTGGGTTCAGGAGGTTTAGTTGCTGGCATGAGGCGTTTGCCTTTTCTTCGACACAACAACTGCTGGGTACATAGTCTGAGAAAGGCGTGGCAAGCTTGGCTGGAAACAGACATCGCAGAATAAAACTATTAATTAGACAAAGTGATGCTTTCCCGTTTTAACTTTAAACAAATAAGATGCACAGTTATTATCATCATCATCCTCATTGAGCCAGTGAAAAGTAAATAAAGTAAAGGACACTCTTCCGCGCGATTAGGTGTATAGGGCACACACGCTAGAACTTTTTTTTGTTTTAGACAAATCGGCACTCGATGGGTGATGTGGTCTACATCACACGGGCCGTCTTTACTTCCCTGACTGTACCTGGTACCCACTTAAGGCTAGGTCGACCTGGGAGCCAAGATCAGCCAGTAATCTGGCTTCCTGGTATACAGACTGTTGGTTCTAAGGCCCATACCCACTAATTTCAAAGGAAACACTTACTACTCAATCGACATTCTGACATTCGTTTCCTTCCTTTGCTTAAAAATGATAAAAATAAAATGGTGTGCTTTGGGTTATAATTGTGACTAGGTTATTTGCGCTCTACAAAATGGCTTAACATAGCTCGCCACCAAGAAGCCCTGAAAATTGCTCTTGCAATTTTAATGCGATCACAGGAAACAGACCCAAAAACTGTCAGGCTCGGTGACGAAGTCGTCTACCGGCCGGCCAATGGGCGACATGATTAAACCCCTACAATGAGGCCAAGGAACCCACACAAGGATATTGGACTGTGACGATGATAATTGGAAATGAGCTTACACTTGAACCAGACACTGGACTGCCACAAGAGCCAGGACTTGGTGCTGTTGAGTCCTCCACTGACTCCGCAACAGTCGAGCTGTGGAAAAGTTGTGTTGGAATTTAGTTACGATAAATTCTTCTTGCTTGTCTGACTCTCTCTCTCTGTGTGTGTGTGTGTGTGTGTGTGTGTGTGTGTGTGTGTGTGTGTGTGTATATACATTAATGTTGTTCGTCCATCACAAGTGATGAAGGCCACTTTCATCCAAAGTAGTAATGATCAATGATTATGAGTACGAAGGTGGCTGATTAGTCTAATATGAGCCTAGAAAGTTCTTGAGCAGTGCGCAGACAATAGAACACATACA